TAGGAAATCAGATGGACTCTCATGAAGCCAAACTTTTGTATAATTTGCAAGAGCTTGAGCTCATCGCTGTCCATCTCTTTGAATTTTCTATAATCTCTCAACCCTTCCATTTACCGTACAATTACTATATACAGGACTGGTTCGACAAGGGACCACCTCCGGTATTCTGGATGTCTGGTTTCTTCTTTACGCAGGCTTTTCTCACGGGAGTCCAGCAGAATTATGCGCGACGATACACTATTCCCATTGACCTATTGGCCTTCGATTTTGAGGTACTAGAAGATAAGATTCCAACAAAACCTCCGGAAGATGGTGAGCACAGCTCCAGACATACTTTCATTAACTTATTATGACCCAAAAGCTTCATTTGACGCACAAATATATTTTTGTAGTAAGATATAATGAAAAATTGGCTTCTTAAGAATTCCATTTCGAAGGAAAAGTTGGTTAGAAGGAACTTGTGAAATGGTCTTTCCGGAAACCAGACGAGAATTGCTGCAATGTGATGACTGTTGGATTATGTAAACAAGTCCTTGATTCATCGTTCGGCGACCCAGATGAGCCTTATCCTTTGGTATCCGGCAGATCGACTTTTTCTCCGAAATGAAAACTTATATCACAATATTTAAGTTCCTCCAATCCAATTGCTCATGTATGGCTACAAATGGAAATGTTGTGGTTATTCATTTAGAACAAAGTGCCTGATGAAGTGATTCGTTGGTTTAGTTCATTAGGCATTAAGTAGTACCATGAGGTTTAGGTTGACGCAGTCAACATAGACTAAGCTCTCATCTGTCAAGCCAGACCTTATCAAAGCTGTACCTCGTTCTTACAAGAGTGATCGTTTCTAACTTACATGCTTGAGATAGTTAAAATAGATAAGAATAACTTAAAATATACAGAGACATATAAAAAGATATATAGTGAATTGATTAGTTCTTTTTCAGATCAATTCATATACTTTTATTATCATTGAGCTCAGTTTACGAGACTATCTCTAATTATTGAATAATTCAAACCTATTTGGGTCAATCTAGGCTAATGAAGGTGAATTCAAGGACGGACGTTTAAATTCTCTCAAAATAAAATGAGTAGAGCCCGAGATTTGATTGAACTTCACATTTGGAAGTCAGAATAAGTTAAATTAAATGACATCGTGCTGTTTCCACACTTCAGTATTAAAAAATTAAATTATCAGCCATAAAACAGCCAATAGTTACTCAAGTTCTTATTCAAATACGTGTCACTTATATTTTAAATGGTGTGTATGTTTACGTATGTAAATAGGGTAATAAAAAATCAACTATAACAGAGCATATTAATTAATTTATTTATTTATTTTTATTTATATATACCTTTTGTATAAGTACTTTTAGTTGCTTAAATGAGTATATTTATCGTGCAACATAGAGTGGGTTATATGAAGACCAAGATGGTGTGGCTCCTGGCATGGTCGTAGTCTCCTTTCGATATATATAAGTGGGTTGACTTCGTTTTCGCAACGTAGTCTTGTTGTCAGGGCGACTTAGTTGAACGCACCTTGTCCGAAATCCTCTGCTATAGTAGTTAGCATAATCCCCAGCGTCAGACCATGGACTTAGTACATTCTCAGGCGTTTTGCCAAAATCATAGTAGACAGAGTTATCGATAACTTTGCCTATTGCTTGAGCATACTCGGAGAAAACAAGGATACGGCAAGACCAGCTAAAACAAGACGCCTGAAGCAAGGACCTATCGTTAACCAGAGGATAAGGGATCTTGAGCAGGGAGATGGAAAAATTTCAAAAATCAAGAGAAAATGTTTTTAGTAAGTGAAGTCCGCTTGAAGAAACCAGTACAATTTTGGAGACCTGACGGTCACGGAACTAGGGAGACGAACAAGCACAACATTCACAGAAATTCGACATTATGGCAATGCATAATATCAAGGATTTGAAGAAAAAGTTGGTTTCGAAGGATGCCTTATTGTGACATGGCTTTTCACTTCAGAGGAAAAGTTGGCCAAGTGATTGACTTCACTTATCTCCTTGACGAGCTGTAGTTTGGTGCTAGGGCTAGCAAGACTCATTGAAAATGCCAGCGAAACGTCTGAGAATGTACTAAATCCACGGTCTGACATTGGGAATTATGATAACTACTATGACAGAGGACTTCGGACAAGGTGCATCCAACTAATTCGCTTTGACAACAAAACCAAGTTGCGAAAACGAGGTCAACCCATTTCTATAGAGCCAATTAGTCTACTCAACATGGTGATAGCTTACATTTGTGTAGGAAAGAGAGCCAGATATGATAAAGGCTGCCTGCAAGCATAACAGACGAAGGCCAAGCCCATTTTCACTGGAATCATATGTTTGATATCTCCTGGACTACATCATCGTGAAGTTCACAGTACAG